CCCTTCTCGCTGATGGACCCACCTTTCATCCAGACACTCTCATTGACTTTTTGACAACAACTGACTTACTTCACAAATTCTGATACCTTCAGCCCTTTCTACCTCAATCTCTTGCTACCCTCTACCCCCGTACTATCCCCTGCCCCGCTGTTTTCTGTAACCTACTGATCATCCCTCCTCCCTTCTGCCATCCTATACCCTCGCTTCCTTCCCTACCCTGCAGCGCTGTATAGCCCTTGTGGCTTAGCGTTTCTTTTTTTATTATAATGTAAAGGTTTTGCTACTCATTTTTACACGCACACAAACATTTAACACGATATGCTGCTGTACTGTACTAAAGCAACACCATCATCCTCAATGAGTAGGCTTATTGAATAGATTCTCTGCTTGGGTGATATTAGGAAACTTAATTTTATGCATACAAATTCTTGCTGACAAATAATACATATACAGATAAGTATGTCATGTTGACTTATCTGAGGGTCTGGGTTTATAACTTTGTGATGTGGAGTGTTGAGGTGAATAACTTCTTCTCTAGAGCTTATTCCTAACCTCTTCCCCTCACCTCTCCTCTCCCTTTCCTTACCTCCCTCACCCCTCTTCCTTCCCCAACCACCCCCTCCCTTCGTCACCCCCGTCCCTCCCTCATTTATTTATTTATTTGTTTATTTTATGTCTTTGCAAATAGTACATTGAGATTTTGTATTTACAATAATGGGTTGCAATACAAAGAGAGCCTCTATTATGCCTAGGCATTATGGGCCAACTTAACATTATTGGCTTACAGACTACTTAACACTACAGTAGAATATTAATTATATCATAGTTGTACAGTAGATTATTATTTATAAGTGAATCTAATTTATATAAGACAAAAGATATAGTCATATATTCAAAAATACTTTTTGTGAAAACAATGATTCAGTTATATTCCTGTCAATAATGGATAAAAGGTTCAAAGTGATTGTTGAAGTTATGATGTGGGAGTACATAAGTATGTGTGAACTGAGTATTTAGCATTTAGTCTAGGGTGATTAAGTTGCTTTTGAGAAGTCTTTAATTGATTTTCAGACCGGGTTACTTCAGTTATTTTTTATTATTATCACACTGGCCGATTCCCACCAAGGCAGGGTGGCCCGAAAAAGAAAAACTTTCACCATCATTCACTCCATCACTGTCTTGCCAGAAGGGTGCTTTACACTACAGTTTTTAAACTGCAACATTAACACCCCTCCTTCAGAGTGCAGGCACTGTACTTCCCATCTCCTGGACTCAAGTCCGGCCTGCCGGTTTCCCTGAACCCCTTCATAAATGTTACTTTGCTCACACTCCAACAGCACGTCAAGTATTAAAAACCATTTGTCTCCATTCACTCCTATCAAACATGCTCACGCATGCCTGCTGGAAGTCCAAGCCCCTCGCACACAAAACCTCCTTTACCCCCTCTCTCCAACCTTTCCTAGGCCGACCCCTACCCCGCCTTCCTTCCACTACAGACTTTAGTATCTTCTGGTAATGAGTTCCATATTTTGGGGCCCTTTATGTGCATAGTTTTTACGCAGTGTGATATGGACACGAGGTATATCAAAGAGATATGTGTCTTGTGTTATGGTCATGTGTCCTGTTAAGGTTGGTGAGGAGAAGTTTGAGTGGAGGGTTTATATTTGCATGTATTGTTCTGTGTATGTAGTAGGAACATGAATAAGTATGAATGTTCTTAATGGTGAGCAGATTCAGACTCTTGAAAATTGGAGTATGCTGTCTGGAGTGGGAATTTTAATATTCTGACTGCTGCCTTTTGCTGGGTTATTAGAGGTCTTAGGTGATTGAATGTTGTTGATCCCCCATGCACAAATTCCATATGTGAGATAAGGGTATATGAGTGAATGGTACAGTGCCAGGAGAGCTGATTGTGGAACGTAGTACCTTATCTTTGATAGTATGCCTGCAGTCTTAGAGATTTTCTTGGTGATTTGTTGTATGTGTGTCCGGAACTTAAGGCTACTGCCAAGGTGGATACCTAGGAATTTTCCCTCTGTGAGTCTTGTGACTGGTGATCCGTTTAGCGTTATGTTAATTGGATCAATTGCAGCTTTGTTTTCAAACTGACTGAAATATGTTTCATCAGTATTCAGGGTAAGTTTATTAGTCATCATCCAGGCAGATATTTTCTGCAGTTCGGCATTGACAGTGTTTGCTGGTATGACTGGGTTTGGGTGGGAGAAGACGTATGTAGTGTCATCTGCAAATAATATGGGTTTGAGTAACTTATGCATTCGGTAGATCATTGATGTAGATGAGAAAGAGGAGTGGTCCAAGGACACTTCCCTGTGGGACTCCTACTATCATGTCAAAGAAACCTCGTATGTATGTACACAAGTGTATATGCATAATGAGAAGTGTATGTATGTGTGCTTAAGTGCAATGGGGGTATATGTATGCATACACATGTAGAGGCATGTGTGTACTTAATTAACCTTTATTTTATGGCTTGAAGTATTCTTGATCATATACACATGACTGTCCGAGAAGTGATTGACAATAAATCCATGTCTTGCAGCATAAACATCCTCAGGTGCTGTAATATACATTAATACTCATATACATGCCATGATTTTTACACCCACCTTGTCCACTTGCCTAATTCGGCAACATTAGTTTTACCCAACAAAGTAAATTCTTTGTTGCTAAAATATGCTTTAATATATTTCATACACGAGATATTAACTGAATTTAGGCTGAGCCTAGGTAGGGTAGGATAAAGAAATATATTTACGTATTTTAGGAAGTTAGGCTAGGTTAAGTTTTAAATTATTTATAATTATTACAAGAAGTAAAAAATCTCCCCTTTCCCACATCTCTTCCCCCCTTTCATCTCCCTCCATTTCCCAATAAAAGAATAAGAATAAAGGATTTTATTTCTTTGCAAAGGTTACAGTGTGTAATTACAATTTTGGTTTGTTAAGTGCAAAGAAAGCCACTATCATGCCAGGGCATTTTGGGCAGATTAATCCTAGTACATAATAACTACCTAAATCTAGACAAGATGAGTGCTTAACTTTTTAAAAAATCTCTATTTAATCTTAATACTAATGTGAGATAGTCAAGGTGGAGGTTTATAGGAATCATAATCTTGAAGTTGTACATAAAAACAGTATTACAATTAATGGTTCAAACAGTAATATTTCCTGGATTGGCAGATGTTTAATAGACTTATATAATTGGAAGAGTTGCTTCAAACTGATTAGAAGTTGTTGTGGTTGGTTTGGTTAGTATTGAGTGATGAGATGATTTTTAAGCATAGTCCTAAATTTATATGTAGTCAGGGGATGCTTTACTGGTTCAGGTAGTGAATTCCAGATCTTCGGGTCCTTTATGTGCATTGCATTTTTACATGGTGTGATATAGAAATGGTTATAACTATGACCATAATTTTTAAAGGGGTGAACCGGTAAGCCAGTGGAAGGCCTCTGACCATGACCAGAAGCCCAACGGCGGTCATCTAAGACCCGCATCAAGAAACGCTTGTCCTGTTTCCTGACGAACCTTACCTAACCTAACCTGCATAGTGCGAGACTGACACGAGGGATGTCAAAGAGTGCCTTAATCTTTGTATTGTGACTATGCGTTTTGTTGTAGCTGTCAAGGAGAAGTTTAAGTGGAGGGTTTATATTGGAGTTTAATGTTCTGTATATGTAGTAGGCACAATAACATGAGTGTATGTCTCATATATTTAGTAGGTTCAGGTGTTGCTGTGCTATCTGCACAGGAGCTGGTAATCATCCCCACAGCAGCTTTTTATTGGGTTATTAAAAGTTAAGATGGTTGGCTGTGGTTGATTCCCAGGCACAGATACCATAGGTCAGGTAGGGATATGTTAGTGGTATAGGGTAAGGAGTGTCATTTGGGGTACATAGTATCATATCTTGGAAAGGATGTGTACTGACTTGGAAATTTTCTTGGATATATGCTGGATGTAGGAATGAAATTTAAGATTACAGTCAAGAAGACCTAGAAATTTGCCCTCAGTGTGTCTTGTAATAGGGGAACCATTTATCGATATACGTATTAAGTTGGATATTTAAGGCTGTTTCCAAATAGCATGAAGTATGTTTTGTATATGTTCAGAGTGAGTTTGTTGGTCATCACCCTTCTTTCTCTTCCCTACGCACACAAAGGTCTATTTGTCTAGTCGTCTGATTACATAAGATACTCAAAAACACTTGACACTGTACCACCTAAGTGTCACTTACTCTTCAGTGACACTTGTTCTGCAGGGTGAGACTATGACTGGCTACCTGAGAGAAAAAATCCTTCAATCACTAAGCTTTCTCTACTGGATTATTAATGACCCTTGTAGGTTTGGCACTTCTTTTTTATTATAATACTAATCTACTGGGTTATACCTAAATATTAGTACAGTGGACCCCCGCATAACGATCACCTCCGAATGCGACCAATTATGTAAGTGTATTTATGTAAGTGCGTTTGTACGTGTATGTTTGGGAGTCTGAAATGGACTAATCTACTTCACAATATTCCTTATGGGAACAAATTCGGTCAGTACTGGCACCTGAACATACTTCTGGAGTGAAAAAATATCATTAACCAGGGGTCCACTGTACTATTGGCATTGTCCAGTATATATGATCTTTGTAAACAGTTTGTGTAGATAACTATGGTCTGTACAGTCAAAAAACAAATCGTTTTTTTCATTCCTTTGTACAGTATACAGTGTGTAGTTTACATGTAACAAAATATTGTTAAGCACAAAAAAGCCACTAGCATACGTGAGCATTTAATTCAGACTGATTCTAATGCTTACAGGTACAATTGGATTTCAGTTTGCTACTTTTTTTTATGTGAACTTCTATTAGAAGGCAGCAGATAGACCCATGTTACAGAAACAAAAATTTCAGTAACTAATGGATCTGTATATATTGTAGTAAATGAGTTTTTTCATGAGTCTTCCTTGGTGTAATTGAGTTATTGCTTGACAGACTTGACCCTAGGTAACATGAAGGCCCTGATCCTGGTGGGCGGGTATGGCACCAGGCTGAGGCCCCTCACTCTCAGTCGTCCCAAACCCCTGGTGGAATTTGCCAACAAGCCTATTGTCTTGCATCAGATTGAGGCACTGGTGGCTGCCGGAGTGACACAGGTCGTTCTGGCTGTGTCTTATCATGCAGAACAGATGGAGCAGGAGCTGGCACAAGAAGCTCAGAAGGTAAGCACTCGGTCATTTCATCTACCTCTGGTGTATTACAGCTGGACATTTTTAAGGTTTTACCTTGATAGATGTTTTCAAGTAGTAATCCTGTTCAAAAAATAATTTGTTCTATTTTCTTATATCCTTAGGAAAGATCTCGTATATAATTCTTTACTTTCATACAAATATATCATCAGTTTCTGCAGATGCAGATTTTTTTTTTTTTTATGGAAGCACAATATTTCTTTATAACTAATCAACCACCCTAAACTTTTTTGCCAGCAGAAAAATCTAGCCCCATGCTAGGCTGCAAGTGTAGAATTCTCAAAACTGGTTTAGAGTACAGGAAGGCCCCGCTTTACGGCGTTTCACTTTACGGCGTTCCGCTAATACGGACATTTCAAATTATGACCAAAACTCACTATACGGCTCCCCCCACCTGACTTTCTAATACGGTCACCGTGCCCCACCCTGTTTGTTTACATTCTCCATGAGCTCAGTAAGCACTAAGTCTCTCCATTTTGTCTGGAAACTCCAAAATTTCAAATGTTTTTAAAAGTTATTTCATATTTTATATATACTCTGATAATTATACTTATGTATACCTGTACCTAAATAAACTTACATACATCGAGTCATTTAAATGTCGTATATTACGTTAATATACACATTTTCATTAATCCATCCATGATATTTTTTTCAAAATTATATAATAAACACGATGCATAACATATAAATAAGATAAATACACCCCACAGTAGAATAAATAAACATAAATGTGAGATGTGAGCAGACGACTTCCACAAGTGAAGCCATAATAACAATACTCGCCGAGTCTCATTAAATGTCGTATATTACGGTAATATACACATTTTCATTAATCCAGCCATGATATTTTTTTCAAAATTATATAATAAACACGATGCATAACATATAAATAAGATAAATACACCCCACAGTAGAATAAATAAACATAAATGTGAGATGTGAGCAGACGACTTCCACAAGTGAAGCCATAATAACAATACTCGCCGAGTCTCATTAAATGTCGTATATTACGGTAATATACACATTTTCATTAATCCAGCCATGATATTTTTTTCAAAATTATATAATAAACACGATGCATAACATATAAATAAGATAAATACACCCCACAGTAGAATAAATAAACATAAATGTGAGATGTGAGCAGACGACTTCCACAAGTGACGCCATAATAACAATAGTCACGGAGTCTCATTAAATGTCGTATATTACGGTAATATACACATTTTCATTAATCCATCCATGATATTTTTTTCAAAATTATATAATAAACACGATGCATAACATATAAATAAGATAAATACACCCCACAGTAGAATAAATAAACATAAATGTGAGCTGTGGTGGCAGACGACTTCCACAAGTGGTGATAATAACAATAGTCACGGAGTCTCATTAAATGTCGTATATTACGGTAATATACACATTTTCATTAATCCAGCCATGATATTTTTTTCAAAATTATATAATAAACACGATACATAACATAAAAAAGATGATAAATACACCCACAATAGAATAATAAACATAAATATAAGATGTGGGAGCCTGGTTTGTTTACTCTGTGCCTGGCCTGTCACCTCTCATGTATTCATTCTTTCTCTCTCATTTATTCGTTTTATCTCATTTACTTACTCCTGACCCTACATTAAGACTACAAATATTTTAAGGTAAGTAATGAGTGAACTGTATATACATTTTATCGCTCTGGGATGCTTAAATATCATAGAATAGTATGTGTGGGTGGGGTGGCCTGTAAGGTAGGCTGGCTATTACAATACATACCACACTTGATTTCTTACAATAAATACTACTTGTCTCACCCTAGATTAAGACTATAAATATTTTAAGGTAAGTAATGAGTGCACTATGTGTGTATTGTACCTTTTTATTGTTTTTTGATGCCTGGTTCTATTGCTAACTTTATATATGTTAGTGTAAACTTGTTATCTAGTGTTTGTATGCATTTATAAGTGGAAAAAAAGGGTGTTCCACTTTACGGCGATTTCCGCTTTACGGCGGTAGCCTGGAACCTAACCCGCCGTATAAGTGGGGCCTTCCTGTAATCTTCCCCTCACCCTATGGCCAAATGCTATCCCATGTATACTGACCATAAGTCAGCGTACATGGGACAGCATTTGGTGATTATCTTAAGCACTGGGGTAACGTATAATGGTGCATGTAATATAGCCTACGTGTTGTGCATATTTAGAGCACCTACCAAGGTGTGTCCTGTGTTTCAGTTGGGGATTCGGATCACATTCTCTCTGGAGGAGGAGCCCCTAGGAACAGCAGGACCCATCAAGCTAGCTCAGTCCATCCTGGCCTCTAATGATGAACCATTTTTTGTGCTTAACTCAGATGTCATCTGCGACTTTCCCTTCACTCAGATGGTCAAATTCCACAAGCAACATGGCAGAGAGGGCACCATTGTGGTATGTTGTCCTGTTTGCATTCCTTCTCATGCAAGTAAGTTTTCGTAGCCTGAAAATTATCTATAATTATCTATAATTTGTAAGTAGTATATGCATATTTCAAACATGACACAATTAACAGTAAAGGCAAACATGAAATGGATAATATATGGGGATATCCTGTAGGAAGTAATCCTGTGGTTTGTCAAGTTCCTTTCCTAGTCTACACCTGATTGATAAGAAGTAAACTCATCCTTAACATAGAAAAAGACATTTTGTGTAACTTTTGGGAATAGAACTTTTCCACAAATAGACATTAGAATTTATGAATACAAACTAGTATGTAATTCGTTCCCCCAATGAATAACACTAACACTCTATTTCTCTCTCATTTACCCATATCTCGCTAGTAGGATTTGTGCTCAAGGTTCTACCTTGTCTATTCATATCAAGCGAGTATGGGTATGGGGTGCATAGTAAAGATATTAAACTATCCACATCAAACCAATTATCATAACAAAAAGCAGCTATAAGAACCGCCAAACTTAAATTTTAGGCTACATGCTATGTCCATATTCAAATCAATTAACCTACTAAATATTAATTCCATACATGATGAAAATTAGACATGTACAACATCTGGGTATCTTTATTGTAGACGTTTTACCATCCAGTGGTTTTATTAATACAAATTCAAGTACATAACTAGAAGATAGTAGAACTATATACAAAAGATGTGGTAATCAGTCCCTCAGCCAACTCCGAGGCTGAAGGACTGATTACCTCATCTTTTGTATATAGTTCTATCTTGAATTTGTATTTATAAAACCACTGGATGGCAAAACATCAACAATAAAGATACTCAGATGTTGCACGTGTCTAATTTTCATCTTGTAAGTATTATATACCATTCACGTACAATGCCATACATAATTATTGCTGTTCATGCTACATCTTCATTACATTTTAATACACTGTAGTGTTGATGCTGACCTAAGACACTTCCTAGGAAAACTGTTACTCACACTCCACTAAGGGAATTACTCTTTCTAGTTGAGTATAACAATTTATTTTCTAACAGGTATACAGTATTGAGAACAAGATTTTCATGTCCAGTTTCAATAGTATTTTGTGTTCATTATATTTTAAGTGATTTATGCCATATTTTACAAACAAAAACTAAAGGATACTCATGGTTGAATAAGTGAATTAATGCATTTTATTTGACAGGTGACAAAAGTTGAAGAGCCTTCAAAATATGGTGTTGTAATATATGATGAAACTGGCAAAATTGATCGCTTTGTGGAAAAGCCTCAGGAATTTGTATCGAATAAAATCAATGCTGGAATGTACATTTTCAACCCGTCTGTTTTGAAACGAATAGAGGTATGTACAGTATATGTAAATATGGTATCTTAGAATCCTGCACATTTGAAAATTTTAATTTTTTAAAACAAATTTATATATATATGTATGTAGTTATAACTGCATTTGTTATAGTTTTCAAATGTGCAGGATTCTGAAATTATAAGTAAATAGTTTTGTTCATAAGTGGAATGTAGCCCCCAGAGGTGAGCTCCGTGCTTAGATGACTCCAGTACCAGTGAGCCCCGTCCTTAATGACTCCAGTACCAGTTTTTGAAGCATTTAGTTTAGTGAATGTAATAGTCGAATTATTAAACTTGCATTGAATTTTTTTTTTTAACGGTTGGCATCACTGGTATCGGTTAATCTTATTCTAATCATACAATATACATACTGTTTATTGTTTCAATCATACACTTCCCTCTTTAGTGCACTGTAATGTCACTGTTTAGTTCATTGTGGTCATACACAACCCTGTTTTTAAAGATACAATCATACATCTTACCATTTGTCATGTTGCAGTCATACATCCCTTTATTTGGCATGTTGTATATTAATTCAGTGTGTCATCTGTTTCAAATCAAAACTTTATTTCTTTGCTAAGGTTTGAATGTGTGTTAAGTTTCATAATTTGATTGGTACAAAGAAAGCCACTATCGTGCTGAGGCATTTCAGGTAGACTTAACCTAATGCTTAGACTACCTAAGTCTAGAGATGTAAATAGTAGTTCTGTCAAGTCCTTTAGGGTTCCTTTGTTAGATCTGGCTTTGATACTGCAGCATTTGTAAAATAATTTTTTTTATAGACCTGCATTTAATTTTTTTCATAAAATTGTTTGGTGTAAATTATTTCCTTTATTTTTATGTAAGATTTGCACTTTCACTCATCCCATTTCTTGCACAGATTCTCTCTTACTCAATCATTGTCTTAAGATTCAGCATTTAACTCTCTTTACAGAAGTATAATTAACTTTCCAGATGTCAAAGTATGATATGAATATTATGGAGGAAAAACGTTTGCAAATTAAAAGATATGATGGGAAGAAAGGCATAATTCAGTGAGCAGAAGATAGGTTGCTGAGGTGGTTTGAACATGTAGAAAGAATGGAGTAGGAAAGATTGATAATGAATACATCTTGGTAGAAAGATTGTGTGTGGAAGCATCAGAGGAAGGGTTGGAAGGACGATATGAATACCATTTGTAGTTGGAAAAGCAGTACTTCTACTATACAAATTTATCATTAAAATTTGAGGTTCCATTTAGTTGTAGGATATATTACCTTGGTAGATTATAATGTACTTTTGATACTGTTTTTTCTGTTTACAATTGGGAAGTACAGTGTCTGCACTCTGAAGGAGGGGTGTTAATGTTGTAGGTTTATAACTGTAGTGTAAGCACGCTTCTGGCAAGACAATGATGGAGTGAATGATGAAAGTTTTTCTTTTTCGGGCCACCCTGCCTTGGTGGGAGATGGCTGATGTGTTAATAAAAAAAAAGGGGGGGGGGGCATCTTATTTGGCTTGTTTATGAGGTACACATTCTCATTATCTAATATTGTTTCTTTTGATGAATTTGTGTGGTGGTCATGTCTTCAATTTTCCTCGTATCCACTTATGAGAGCATTTTCTTTTTATTCATTTTTTTCATAAATCATATTTCTTAGCTCTGGGACCCATTTTGTAGCATATCTAAACTTTTTTCTTTACAATTTTATGTTGGTGCAAACACCACATTAATGTTGTAATTTTGGTGTGACATATGTTGTGAACAGCACTTTTAACCTTCTACCATTTGTGCATCTGAAGGCTATTGTAAAGTTTACCAGTGTAGCATATAAGCTTTTCTCTGTTGCATCTGTGTAATGACTCTTCTAAAATTTCTTCTATACCTCACTCTGTTCAGTTCTTCCAGTTTATAAAGTATCTTACCTATTTCACATTGTGTACTCGTTTCAAGTACAGTATGGCATATTAAATTCTCTCGTCAGTCTGTTACTCCATTTGTTTAATGGGCAAGTCTTTAAGATTTATTTCTGTGTATAGGATTTTTATATCTGCATATACATATATTCAAATATTGCAGCTGTTTATTAGTTTTGGCAAATCGCATGCATACATTGGAAATGTTATTGGGACAAGTCCTGATTCTTGTGGGACTCTCTAATATTTTTCCCACAAGGTTTGGCTTGAATTGTTCGGCAATTTTGCATCATGTCCAGCCAAGGATGCTGGCTGGGCTTTTATGACCAGTGAACTATCCATAAAGGTAGATAAAAAAAATGGAGACAGTTATAAAAAAATTATACAGAATTTTTTTAATTAAGCAATATTTGAACTTGCCAGATAAGACAATATTGCTCCCAAGCAAGATGGAAGCCTTGTATGTCTGGTCATTGGCTAAAAAATGCTTAGGAAACTGTGACTGGCTGTTGCCATGGTTACCTGGTTGGCCTCATTGTATTTCAGAAATAATGTTTTTAAACTTGATGGTTGCTCTTTTTTTTTTTTTTTTTTTTTTTTAAGATTTTCTTATGAATCATTAATTGGCAGTGATCCTGTATACTTGACCCTTGAAAGTTAAAATTTATGCAATATTAAGTTTATGGTAATTGAGGATTAACATCTTAAAAGACAAAGTAAATAATTATACAGTATAAAGGAGAAAAGAATAATATGAGGATGGGGCAGTGATGGCCAAATGGCTTATTGCTTAATAAGTACTGATAATACTCCTATTCTGAAAGTGCCGTCCAATGAGCATTGAGAAAGAAGTGTTCCCGTACATGGCCGGGGATGGACAGTTGTACGCTCAAGAACTCCACGGCTTTTGGATGGACATTGGGCAGCCCAAGGACTTCCTGACTGGAATGTGCCTCTTCCTCAACTCTTGCAAGCTCAACAATAGTGCCAAGCTTTATAAAGGGCCAGGTAACACTCCATCACAGTCCTTTTTCTTAATCTTTAACAGGCACTTCTTGAGCATAATATATAGTGGCAAACTACAGTATACACAATACTGTAGGGTAGGATGTTGATAATCCGGTTTTCTGAATACCTATGGCTTCCTAAAATCAGTGAAGTTTAAATATATCAATTTCTTTTGGTATCTGGCAAATATCCCGAAATTCGGAACAGCTGGTTATAGTTGTCACTGCACCATTTGTTTTTAGCTCCGTGATTATCTGTACTGCTACTTGTTTATTACTTAGTCTTCCAAGGTTGTGGCAGTGCTTCCCTAGCCACTTCATTGTCACTTTCCAAAGTTTTTTTCCTTGTCAACTCTGTATCCCACAGAGGCAGGGCGACCTAAAAAGAAAAACTAAAGTTATTTTTAAATTTAGTAATTTATACAGAAAGGGTTACTAGCACCTTGCTCCCGGTATTTTAGCCTCCTCTTATGACACACGGCTTATGGAGAAAGAATTCCTATGCTAGTATTACAAAATATGAAAATATTTCATTTAAAATTAGTCATGGAAAAAAAGTTGAAATGTTGGATGAGCTTGAAGGGGGGTCACTGAGAAACCTTTCACTCCTATGAGGTGAATTTATACACCATTAATAATGCACCACTGTATAAAGAAGCAAGGTGAAAAACTTGATACTACATTGTGAGTACTGCAAGTGGAATAGGGGTTCTGCAGACTGTAAACTTGTGCACGATGTTAGGTTTGGGCAGACGCCCATGGTGTTAACTCTAGTTACTTTGAGAAGGTTCTCATCTATTGGTTCTTGCAACATTGTATTGAAGGAGTTTCTCTTGCTGTGTTGATAATGGTCAAGAAATATCATCTTTGGCATAGCATTCTTTATTTGGAAACATTTGGTGGAAAACTATACAACAGGAGAAAAGCCACTGACTTGTGTATAACTGATTTTACAAAGTTAATACAGTACAGGATGAAATTACAAGTCTTGAGATATATAGTGCAAACAAGACTGGACTGTTTTAAAAGAAATCTCAGAATTTCCAGCCAGTGCAAGGACAGCATCAGAGGTCAAAGATATAGAAGGTTTATCATGTCATATTGTAGGAAAGCATATACAATATAAGACAGTAATGGAGTATGGATAAGATACTTGAGAATGCAATATTTAGGAAACTCGTACCATTTTGATAGTTTCCTTTTGTTCTTATACAAATACAAGTTTTTCAACGTGATACATTGTTTACACATAAATGGGTGACACTTGAGTGTATGTTGAAAGCCCATGGTTATACAGAGCATTTAGGGCAAGCTTAAGCTTACCTTAAGACTACAAGGGTGTGGCTGTATATATACTATATATATTTATATATATTGTTACATTATATATTGTAAATATTATGGTGCTATGAAATTCCATCCACCAAAATAACTAGGCTTGAAGGACAGCAAAATCTTGTATTCATAGAAAGGAAATTTATTATAATATTTTTTGATGTGGTACAATATGTACCTTTTATGCTTTTGTGATTTTTTTTTCATTAAACCAGCCGTATCTCACAGAGGCAGGGTGACCTAAAAAAAAAATTGAGTCTCTTTTTATCTTTAGTAATATATACAGAAGAGGTTACCAGCTCTTTGCTTTGCTCCCAATATGAAAATTACTTTTTATTTAAAAACTTTGTTTTGCCCCCCCCCCCCCCTAGAAAAAAAAAGCTGGAATGATCCTAGCAGGTTTCAGCTGAAGGCTTCAGAGTTTATGACTGGGAACAACAAGTGTAAACTTACAATGAAGACCCTACTTGATTTACTTAAGCATTTAATCTTACTGATCCTCTAATTTTTTTTTGTATAATGTATGGAACAGTATATTATAGCTTCTTATTGCCTTCATCTCTGGTCTAGCCATCACTCCTTGCACTCCAGCATCCATGTAATTGTCTTGTCTTCAGAGATAAGGAAGATATTGCAGTTAATATACATATAACAATATACATTATAGTGTACAGTATTTTTACACATATGCTAAATTGAGCATAAAAATTACATTTTGTAAATAAAAGCATTTCAGTACTAAAGTTGTGCTTTCTGGTCTCCCATTCACTTTAGTTTTTAAAAATCCAGCAAAATCCGAATTCCGAAAATGTCTTTGCCCCCCAATTCTGGATTATTGATGTCTTACAGTATCATAAACTCGTACTTTATATAACTCCTCAAACCATAAAAAAGGCCGTGGCAGCCTTATATAAACATCACTTCTGAAGGGCTACAAAGTTTCAGAAGCTTCATTAAGGGATCTGTAGTCATTTCCCCAACATACATGTTAAGTTCCTATTAGTGCAACTGTCCAACAAATTGGTGATAAAAATTAGGCACTGTTTTTGTTTGTCCTGGACCATTATTTATTTATGACTAGTAATGGGCCAGTATGAACTAGACATTATCCTGAGTTTCAGCTCCAATTTGTGGGTTTTAAATTATACCATGATAGATTTTTATTCAAATAAAGTTGACATCAGACATTATTGTACAGAATAACACAGCATGGATTTCCTGGCCTCCACTGGATTGGGTTTCTATAAACATGTGTATAATGATAATTTTATTTCTTGTATACTGTAGTGTGTTAATGCTGTTGTTTTTTTTTTCCTTCTTCACTAATAATTCCTGCTTTTTCCATTACATTTTCTTCAACACTGATTGCATAAGTGAATTGAAGGTATGTGCCTTGTCTCTTTCTAAAAGGTGTGGTAGGCAATGTTTTGGTTGATTCTTCAGCCAAAATTGGAAAGAATTGCCGTATTGGTCCTAATGTCACCATTGGACCCGATGTTGTAATAGAAGATGGGGTGTGCATTAAGCGGTGCACTATTCTCCGAGGAGCAACTATCAGATCCCACACCTGGTTGGAAAACTGCATTATAGGCTGGAAGTGCATTGTTGGCCAGTGGGTAAGTCATATTGTGTAAAATTGTGCTAGACCAGCTGTATTTCAGAATTGTAACAAAAATGTAGTTAGTGTGCTAGACAAGTGGGGAAAAGTATGGGCTAATCAGACTTAAACTGGGAAAAATGTTAGAGCACGTGTTGCATATCTAAATTCGTTCTCTTGATAGTCTTTCGATATGGCTACCAGTATCTGTTGGCCTCTGTCTGGTCACCAAAATCTATCAGTTTATTGGGTCACCCAGACATTTACAGCTTATAACTTTGCACTTTAATTGCACTCAATAAATTTTACATTCTGCTTTATTGATGGTGTGTGATATTGGGTTTTTAAAGGCCCTCCAGTGGATAATGACTTGCTTAGTAGAATTGTACTACAGTACTGAGAAATTATATGAAACAGAATAGGCTAAGATTTTCTTGGGGACATCACAGAAAAAGTTATCTGTAATCAGTGAATGCATTCAGCCATTTCTGCTAGTGCAAATCTATCAGAACTTCACATGGGCCCTTGAAAAATCTCCCTGTCATCCAACAGTAATGAAATATGTAGGAACTTTTACTATAGAAATTTCTTCTTTTGTATGTGCTGGAATAATACATTAATTGAAGTGATTACTTTAAGGTTTGTTAGATACATCCTAATTTACTATGCCACTTTCTTGTAATCAGTCACATTTTGTCCTTGCCTTTTATTGTGAGCTGATATCACATTGTCCTGCACAGTAAGAATGTTCCATGCACCTACAAGCAGTTTGTTACTTTAATATACTGTACAACAAAGTAAGAATTTTATTTTTTCTATTAGGTACGAATGGAGAATGTATCGGTGCTGGGAGAGGACGTTATTGTGAAAGATGAACTTTATGTCAATGGAGGGATGGTGCTGCCTCACAAGAGTATAGGTGCCTCAGTCTTGGAGCCAAAAATAATCATGTGAAATTGTGTTCCTTTATCAAATATTTTAAAGTATAAAATATTATTTAACCCATCTTGACATTCAAATGTTTTAATTGGTTGCATAATTCTAGCCAACTAGAGATTTTCAGTTAGAATATAAAGCTGATTTGGAGGTATTTTCTAATAAGATGTCCTGGTTTCTTGGGCTGTGCTCTGATTAAGGTTGTCGGTATTGTATACCATTATTATAATAGTAAAGGTCCTGTTATCCGACCACAATTATATCCATAACCACAGTTAATCCATAATTGTGGTTACGGTGATGCTGGTCCTACTAAATGCAAGCGAGTTCAAAATAAGCCATCAGGGACTGATTAGCAAAATAGTGTTAGTACCATTCACATGTTATTGTATATTATCATGCTAAAGTGCTAAACCCATAGGGAGTCATACAGTGCTTGGGAAATACAAGGGCAAGATTTAATAAATTTTCAGTATTTACTGCTTAAAAACTATTTGGTAAATTCTTAAAATGTTATGGTGTTACCCACTGATGCAGCAACACTATAAACACCTATTACTTCCAGGGACTGATGCCCTAGATACTTTCATTTGATACTTCACCAGTAGCAAATATGGTGAGCTATGATAAATACTAATGACCTCCCCTCCTCATATCTCATTAATCAGTGGTCACCAGTGACCCCAGTAGCTGTAGGTCAGTGCCTGGTGGCATTACCATTAGTTGCTGAATACTGTACTCGTACAGCATGTAATATCAAAACTTGCTCCTTGAATTCCTAATTATGTTGAACATACAGTACGTATGTGATACTGTAAATTATAAAATAAATTATTTAATTGGTGTGATTGGAATGAACTGCTTTGGTAATTAGTTTTTCATTATAAAGTAGGTTAATTTTGTCAACTATGTTTAGAAGCCGTTTTAAAAGTATAAAATTACAGTATAAAATACAAGTTACTTGTAAATTTAGTTCTGTTTTAGCAGTTGGCCAATTTGTTAATTTCAGTACATTATACTAATGTATCTACTCTTGAAATCTGCTTAGAGCAGTTTTTAATTAAACATTTTTATCATTGCTAAAGACTAAACACACTTTCTCCTCCTTTAGGGTATATGCTAATGCAGTTAGATGTACAAGTGTCCCTTGACATTATACAGTAGATGCATTCCAGGCTCATGGGAGTTACATAAGCTCAGGCAGATCTTCAATACCTAATTCTGCATTTGATTAAGATTTCATGTTTCATGAACCATAATGATCACATATGGCAAATATAAATATTGCACATACAGAATTACTGCCACAAATAGGACATCACACAATAGGAAATTTGCATGAAAAAAAACCCGCATGAAGCAAGGGAAACTGTATAATGAATGTTGCTTGGAAATGGTAAAGATACTTCTTATTTTTACCAGTATAATTCAGGAACATGGGCACATATAAATAAACAAAATTAAAGATGCTGTTGAAGACTGTGGTAATATTGGATACCTATATTTAATCAAAGAAATACCTAATGTACTGTGCCTAATGTGGGCTTTGTAAAACACTGCACTGTACATTGTTTAAATTGTCCCTTACCCCTATATACTTTTATAATACCATTCATCTCCCATCAAGGGAGTGACCCCAAATAAAGAAATGTCTTTAGCATCATTCAGTAGCTGTTTTGGTAGAAGTGCAGGCTGTATAGTCCTTGTGGCTTAGCGCTTCTTTTTGATTATAATAATAATAATGGTAGAAGTGCATATTGTATGAATGATGAGCGGCCACTGTCATGGTGGGTGATAGACTTTAAAAAAGTGCAAACAGATATTTGATTTGTGAAGAAATCTGAAAGCTGGAAAGGCTGAAGTAGGATAACAGGACCTTGAATGTTTGCTGTTCAATACTTATTACTGTAGTCCTCGAATAATCTCAGGAACTTTTCTACTGTATATTTAAGTACTATATAGCTTCATTGGTTGGCTAGATGATATATTTATGTATTCCAAAATGTGCATTACAATTTGATGAAAGTAAATGGAAGCTGTTGCAGCACCATAGGTGAGAGACTGAAGCAGTGTGGAGGAATGTCTTGTTAGGACTATTGTCAGTAACATGTATTCTAGACTGGACTCTCTAGGCTCACCCATATTGGGGCCCCTCTGCAGTCTTTGCAGAACAAATGAATGTATTGTACAACAGGAATATGCTTTGTCTGTTTACTGTCAAGTATGTTCATGTTGTGCAGTAGTGTGGCAACACAGCTGTTCACACACACTACGTGTTATTCTTAAGCCTGCTTTAGGCCTCCCCTCCCTTCCCTTCCCCCCACTGTTTTCCCAAGATTGAGAGTGTTAAGAAATTAAAGATCTGTAATGCCTAACACAGTAATATGAGGATGGGCTGCACAACAAGATCAGCGTGAAGGGTGCTCTAGTGCAGTAGTATGGCAGTAAATTCAATGTGAAGGTCATCAAAAACAGTAGTAGTACTGTAGGTAGTTACATCATTTCTTATTATTCCACAATTTCAGTATTACCTTCATGGGCAACTTCCTATCATAAATAATAATAATTGGCCTCACAGAGTTTGACTTTGAATTGCATCAATTTTTACCTAAATTAGATATAACTCCTTGTATTCATAATTGTATTGTACAGTACATTCAATCTCCACACCACCTGCAAACTGAACAGCAGTCCACCAAGTGCCTAACACTGCCTGATCAAGTGGAAATTACTAGTGAAACACTTTTGCTTGTTTAGCATGAAAGCAGGAAGAGAGGTGAAAGTGGTCAAAGGAGTAGCACTGTATGGCCCATACAGGTTTAGTGCTTCCCATAATACTAAATAATAATATACAACATATTTTGTAAGATTACAGTGGGAAGTAGAACTACCTCTGTTATTGCTGATGTGCACTGTACAGGTTGGCTATCAGTACTCCGTCAATCAGTTATCTGGTTCCATCAGTAATGCGGCACTAACTTTGGCTAGCACAATTTCAAATTTCATCATTATACTGACTCAGAAATTGTGTAGATGGTTGTAAATCCACAGCAGCAAGCCAGTGGAGGAGAAAGCTGTGATGAAAATGAAGATGTAGCAGTCTCTGTCAAGAGGTTAATTATGTGTATTCTAACCTAACCACTCTGTAATCCGGCACACTACAGGTCCCAGTGATGCCTGATTAGTGATGGCTAACCTGTATTATATCTGGGATACTGTAATGTCCACGAGAGCATTTTTAAACACTAGAAACTTTTAGTTTGTAACCATGTTCACTCGAAAGTGTAATTCACTGTAGTGTACTTAGTGATGAAGCAAAGGTACTCGAGTAGTCCTAGTGATGAGGGTGATGTTAGAGCAAGCTACAAAATTCAGTGATGAAGGGATAGATTTAAAAAAAAAATATTGATTGTCTCTGGCTGCTGATGGTAGGAAATACATTAATTCCCCTCCCTCTCCTTACCTTTTAGTTGTCAAAACTACACATTATATAACTGTTATAGTACTTCTGAGAACACCAGACAATGACAGTGAATAAAGTATGAGAAGTATATGTGCAAGTTTTTAAATAGTGCTGACTTGCTGAATATTATTAATTTGTTATGAACAGTATAAAACTAGGTTAAACTTGAGGTCATATTAAACATGTTTGAAAATGACTGGATGTTACCATTACATATCAGACTAACAATTATGAAGCTATATGCAGCAGTGGGAAGGTGTCCACAGTTGGGGAAAAAAAACATGTGGACTGGATAGAAAATGTAGCTACTAGAGCTAAAAAATATTAGCTGTTAAAAAAAAAGGGGGGGGAGGGGCTGGATGCACTAGACATTCCTTCACTGGCTGATATGAAGAGAGACACATGATAAATACATACATCACAGGATTATTAAAGGGCATGAAAGAATTGATAATTTCCTAGCACCAACAGGGAGATCCAGAGGCCATATCTATAAACTAAGAAAGAGGTATTGAATGGATACTAGAAAGTTCCTAACAAACAGTAGAATAATTTGTTGAAGGGAGCAAGTGTTATAACTACTGGAAACTTAAAAATTGAATGATAATTAAATACTGAAAGCAAGACATGAACTTAGCTCTACACCTGTAGCTTCAAATAGGTAATATCTTGCACATCCTCATTGAAATTCTCACGTAAATTCTATTTTGATGATTTTGCACAATTATTATTAACAAAAAGAAGCACTAAACCACAAGGGTTATTTTGCACAAAACTCGACAAATATATGTCTTGACTGACTATTGACTACATTATTTTTTTACTAATACTCTTAATGCTACACTTAAGTGTAGGATATACTGAAGGAGGATTGAAAATATAACAGTTTGGAGGAGCAATTGAACTGTAACATCAAGATGCTTCTGGTGAGACTGTGATAGGGAGATTCATACAGAAAATGTTCCTTCTTTTTTGGACCACCCTATGTTGGTGGGAAATAGCTGGTGTGTTAGTTAGTTAGTTGGCCTCTTTTCAAAATATGCACATAATTTTGGCAAAATGTAAGCTTGTGTATTCTTCACCCAGACTTCAAATGTGGTGCAGTAGATAGGATTAAAAGTCTAAAGTCTGCTGGAATACATAGTGTGGTATAGTCACTAGCTGTTGTTACTTAAGTTTGCATGTTGCCAAAGGAATGTTCTTACTGAATCCTCTTGACCCAGGCTCAGCAACACCCTGTTCAGCTTGTGTGCTAAAGAAAATAAACTTGTATGTTTAATGGGATCTCTAAGCAGTGGATTCTTTTTGTTACATGTGACTACAGATATCTTGTATTATTTACTTTTAAATGTTAAAGAATGAATATCAGCAGCATTAGCATTATACGTAACTGTAACAAATTTTGCAAGTATATTTTACTAGTCTAAATGCAGTAGGAAACATTTTGCCTGGTAAAATGACGTGAAATGAAAGTGCATTACATTTGTATTTACACAAGGACAAACAATTAATGACTGTCTTGGCACGAGACTGCAATTAAATTAAAAAATACAGGAATGCATTTGTCATTCGGAAGTGGGATTGGGGCCATAGAAAAATTCATCATTCAGGTTTTTTTTCATGAGTATTCAAAAGTTGTTAATCTACCAATTCTAAAATATACTGTACTTAATGAATACCAAATATTGTACATTCTGTGCAATTGAGTGGTCTTCCATTCACCACTGGAGGAACTTGTTGCATTAAGTTACAGCTGTGCAGAGTAGTAAAATAGCATTAATTATGCATCACATATCTTGTGGATTGCAGTGAAAAATTGAGGAACATAATGAGTCCAAGGACTGGGCCACAAAGTTTTGAAAGCTAAGAAAATTACAGTGTTAAGGAGCTATAGTGTTGGGAACTTTTCTCTATTTATTATTAGTTATTAAGTAGCTGTATGATGTACAGGTTTAGTTCTTGTTTTTAATGTAATAATACTAACATACTGCATTACGTATTATTGTACTGTTATTCTGACTAAGGAAACTATAATTACATAAGAATGTTAAAAAGGTTTGTTGTTGTCTTACCTGAGCAGCTCTTATTACACTTTTGTGCAAGTCTAATACCTTTGATCTGGAGTTCCGAGTCTTTCTACTCCCAGAACCTGGCCATGCAGGCTGTTGCTGCTGGTGTCCCGCTAACCCACATATCCATGATAGCCTGGTTGATCTGGTACCTGGTGAAGATACTTATCCAGTTTCCTCTTGAAAACTTTTACACAGCAGTGTTTCATCTCTGACCATGAACAAATGTATATTATCCCTAGTCTTCCATCTTTCTCAAATATGACAACACAACACTATTTTACACACAACTTCCTGTGTATTTTATCTATTTCTTCAGGAATTTCAGTTTCCATAGAACACCAATTTTACTTGACTCGCTTCTCGGTACGAACGTGGAGAAGCCTGATAGATCAAGCCTCTGCAACTTCTTGTACTGAATAACCCACATGGATTTAGCACTACATAACCATAATAAACATTACAAATGTATGATTTTGAATGTCAATTTTTTTTTTTTTTTTTGGTAAGCTTCTTCGCATCTTTCTTTTGCCTTTAATGAATTTTTTTCTAAGAGGTAAACCAGCAGTATAATCAGCAGTGCTATTGAATGTTACCAGTTGTGGTCAGAGTAAATATTGCCTATATATACTGCACTGCAGTCATTCATAGAAATTTATGTAATGTAATTATGAGAACAATACTGATGGCAGCTCTGCATAATGAACAAGAATTTTTTTATATTAAATTTACGTATATATTTGTCAATAGTTTTTTTTTCCCATGCAATTTTTCAAGACCTTCATATTTATTTGACAGCAAGGTGGTGGTTAATATTTTGCTTGTTAAAACAATTTAAAATATCAATAGTGTGTTTATATTTGTTTCCTTGTACTCTGAGAGCCATTTTATGTGAATTCCCATCTGATGTACCTTATTAGGGATTGTGCACCTTGCCAGAAGGTAGCCATTGACCTATTAAAAAAAAAAAAAATAGGAGGCCTAAGAGTGACCTTGTACAGTAAAGAATTGTATTTTACAACTCAAAATATTTCAGTTACATACCTTATTCTAAAGCAGTGACAGTATGTTCTCCTAGCAATTGTAGTACGTACATATAAAACATATATTATTACATTAATAAAAAAAGCACTATACCTGTAGGGACCATACAGAGCCTCCAGGACTGGGAGGTATTTAGGTTTGATCCAAGGAAAGGTCAGGTCCAATTTCTTGGATCAAGAGCCATTCATCTGCACCAAGGAACCTCCCATGAGGGGTATAAAATATATAACCAACATCTTACAAACACACACACACACGGTAGTTATCCAAAGTGTATGACTATATTATGTTGGTTTTTTTCTTTACTATTGCACTTGTAATGCTAAAGTTTGCCTAATAAAATATCACAAAGCAAACAATGTCACTATTTTCCTCGTAATAAGTACATTATTATTATTATTATAATCATAACTAAGTGCTAAACCCACAAGGGTCATGCAGCACTGTAGGGTAGGGTGTGCTAAAGGTTTAATATGCTTGATCAGAGACTGGCGAGGATGGAGAGTATAACAGTGGTAGAGTTAGTAAGGATGGTGTAAAATGCTAAAGGAAGTACAATCAGTTTGTGTAATAAATCTGTTGCTGTCAAAGAGTGTCAAAATGTAATGAGTACAGCAAAGTATCAAAGAGCCACTGGTTTATAGCTTTAGTGGCAGGCATGGTCAACAAATTTTTTACAGTGAAGGCTGGTAATACTGCATCAAAATATAGATGTGTAAACAAGATTCATGCCAGGGGAAAAAAAAAATAGGGTTATAGTTACGAGACACTGAAAAAGGCTGCACAAGTATTTTAAATTTTGTAATTCATCAAAAGAAATTTTTCATACTTTACACCTATATGAACCTTGTGGGTTTAGTACCTAGTTATGACTATAATAATCATACCTTACAATGACAGTGTTTGTTGATGTGGAAATATATGAGGATTTAATAATAAAACAGTATGTATATTCAGCTAAAAACGTATGAACAGATTATCTTACCATGAATTCTGCATACTGGTGCATTTCTATCTGGAAATGTATGGAGAGGGATGTCATAGTCTTACTGGGCTGAGGTAGATAACCATGGTTCTTGTCACTGTTGCAGAGTTATCAGTAGTTAATGGTTGTAGTGGAGTGCTTAGGTATTCTGTAAATGCATACCTGTAGTCTCCATCACATGTATGCTAGCATTAAACACACATGACACTATTTTTTTCAAAATAATGAGGTATAGCTTTACAGTTATTACTGGCACCTCCAGCATCTCATTAATACTATTCCTCTTGGGTGTCATGGTTAATATCCAAAGATGAGATAGGATGATTAAAAAAAATATACACAAGGAAGGGTAAGGTATGGTGGTAGTTGATATTATTAGAGCAATCTGACTGTGTAGGTCATTCAATGCTCACAGCAATAGAAAATACATACTGTACAACACAGAATAAAACAAAGATAAAATTAACAAAGGCTACTGACAAACATTCAACACCGATACTATTTTACCAAATTAAAACAACTAGCATCAATTAAAAAGCCCATTAAATTAGTAATGTCAAAAGACTTCTAAAAGTTCTCTTACAAGCACTCCAGTAATCATAAAAAAAACTGCAACAAAGACAAAAAGGCCTAAGCTGTGGGAAAACTTAAAATGTGTAGCAATCAGTGGTATGTCACAAGCTACACATGGATGGGAAAAGGGAAAGGAGCAGGATGCCTCCAGAAAGCAACTGGCAGCATGGGTGATTATAGCAAATCTGCCAATACTCATATTCAATTTTTAGCCAATATAGTGGACCCCCGCATAACGATTACCTCTGAATGCGACCAATTATGTAAGTGTATTTATGTAAGTGCGTTTGTACATGTATGTTTGGGGGTCTGAAATGGACTAATCTACTTCACAATATTTCTTATGGGAACAAATTCGGTCAGTACTGGCACCTGAACATACTTCTGGAGTGAAAAAATATCGTTAACCGGGGGTCCACTGTACTATCAAAATTAGCTGATACCCAGTGCTAATGACATCATCAAAACTGACCCAAACCCACCGATACCAATAGTCAGTTTTAGGCCGATATCGATACTATCAAAATTATCTGATACTGTGGCATGCCCCTAGTTTACACCACAGATAGAAGCTAGGCTTTTCCCTAAAACTGTGGCCTCTCAATAGGTATGCAGGGAAAGTATCCTACTACACTGGATTTTGTACAAAATGACATTATTATTATTTTCCCCAAGCTTTACTGTATGATCTTGCAGTCACTTTCCTGCAAAACATGGACTTGGCTTAAAAAAAGTGCAACTGCAGTTTACTAAAAATGCAGTCTGTGGACACATGAAATAATTCTAATATGCTGAATACTGAGAGAAAAAGTTCATGGCTATCAAATGTCAGTTTAGCTATATTAGTTGAGTACTTTCTGTATGCTAGTAGGGTGGACATAAGTTTTGTCCCAAGTGATGCAATTCTAATTGTATCTGGAATGTGGTGTGTAAAGTTACATTGTATGACCATGTGAGAGATGGGAACTGTTCCATAATATGAATTGCCAGTGGTGTGGAGCTGCATTAGTTTATTGGCCTGGTTTGCATCAATTTTGGTGACTGCATCCCACTTTAGAATGTTTGGGTAGATGTCTATTGTGTGTGTTAGAGTTCTTGTGCAAGTATGTGATCATTCAGGTATGATTCAGGATTCAATGTTTACAGTGAAAAATTTTTGTCCAATATCACGTTTGGAAGATGTAATGGTGTATGATCGATGTGTGTGTGTGCTACATCAGTCATCATTTGTCAGTTGTCTTGTGGCAGATGGCTTTGACCACACTGTCTGTTGGTATTACCTGGAGTTTACCTGAAGAGGGTTTCAGGGGTCAATGTCCCTGCAGCTCGGTCTGAGACCAGGCCTCGTAGTGGATCAGGGTCTGATCAACTAGGCTGTTACTGCTGGCTGCACGTAAACTGACGTACAAACCACAGCCTGGCTGATCAGGTACTAACTTTAGGGGTCTGTCCAGCACCTTGTCGATGATCCATGAATTACTGTTGCACTATGTAGAAAGCCAGTTCCGTGGTCAAGGGATGGTGGGGGTTAACAGATACTGGAGGGAATAGGCAGAATACCAGTACTGAGTTGAAGTGACAAAAGATTGCCCAAAAGTAATTCCACTGATCACTTAAGAATCGGTAAAAGGTTTCTCTATCATTAGGGATCCAGGAGAATTAAGCTGCATCTTATTTACAGTAAAGCAAAAAAAAAAAAAAAAATGGGGTCAGTTCAGAGAAAAACTGAAAAGAAACCACACCCACCCCAACCATAGTCACATCTAATGTGAGAGGTAGTGCTGCTGTTCCCTGCAAACCACCTCTGACCCTACTTGGTGCACACCAGGATGGCACCTTCAGAATTGAGCAAGGCATAGCAAAACCCTCAATTACACAAGGGCACTCATCTTTCAGCTATAATGGTAGTGAGCAAACTGGAATAAATGCCAGGAATTGTACACCTCTGGTTGCCACTCCTAGAGTCACAGGCAACTTCTGGCATTCAGTGCCCTGCCAGATGACCCTCAAGGGAGGGACACCTGACATGCCCAAAGACGATTCATTTCCATGGGATAGAATGATATGACTACTATAACACTATGATTGGAAGCTACATTAGAGTATGACTGATAATGGTCTCATTACCCCTTTCACTAGAAGCTGAATTTCACTAAAGGGTAAAATTTCCTCACATGAAGTCAAATGGAGAGAGGAAGAGTCAGGTGGTATTTAGATTCAATCTAAGAAAGGAGACAGAAGTATATTCCATGCATGAAGAACATCTCTTACTGCATCAGGGTACCCAGAAAAATACTGGTATGAGATCCAAGGAGCAGCAGGTAGTAAATGTATCCATGGAAAACTTTACAGTTTCAATGTCAAAATAAACCCTGAGATGGGACACAGTAAACATAGTTGTTCTCCTGTAACAAATAAGTAATCTTCTATGCAATACTTATAAACTTTTGTCACCAAATGAATTTCCACAATACAGAAACAAATAATTACACTGGCAGAATACTGTATTTTGTTTATCATTAATAAATTTTTCATAATAATGTTACCACAAAACACAATTTTATTAAACATTTTAAATGACTGGAACAATTTTCAATACTTCTTAGTTTTGTTTTGTTTAAATAATAGAATATTTTTACTTTTATTTTCTTTTTGGGGATTTTCTTTCTTTTTTGGGTCACCCTGCCTCGGTGGGAGACGACTGACTTGTTGAGAGAAAAAGAAAAAAAAAAAAAATGTTTACTTCCTTAAATTCACCCCCTGTATCTACAAGGACTTACTGACCAGGACGTAATAAGCAAGACAAACATCTTACATCAGGTTCAAAATGCTGCCATACATCCCACAAATAATATACTAAAAATTGCAAAATACAGTAGTCTACTTCATAAAGAAAGCTGAAAACTCAAGCCATATTAGATTTTCATAAAAACAATTAATGTCATGTATGAAGAAAAGACACATTTGCAGAGACAGCTTTAATTGGGCCAGTGTTTCAATCTCTTAAGACTTAACAAGCTTTATAAAGGTTACAAATATCACAGGAGTGAGAGTTGTCCCAGTTGTTCTTTGCCAAATAACAATGTTCTTTTGGAAGACTGAAGAGAAACTGCAAAGATTGGTAGATGAAGAAAGTGTACCTTAGTGTGTTAGATAGGAGTGAATGGAGATGAAGGTTTTTGGGACCTGACGAACTACTGGAGTGTGAGCAGGGTAATATTTTGAGAAGGGATTCAGGGAAATCGGTTAGCCAGACTCAAGTCCTGGAAGTGGGAAGTACAATGCCTGCACTTTAAAGGAGGGGTTTGGGATATTGGCAGTTTGGAGGGACATCTAAGCTGTCATATCAGCGTGCATCTGCAAAGAGTGATTATGTATGAGTGATGGTCAAAGTGTTGAATGATGAAAGATTTTTTTCTTTCTTTTTGAGTTTTTCTTTCTTACTCGGTCACCCGGCCTAGGTGGGAAACGGCTGACATATTAAAAAAAAAAAATGTAAATGAAGGAAATTACACTTAAACATAGGAAAGAGTGAGGTGATGAAAGTATCAAAAAATTTAGGCAATGAAAGATTGGATTAGAGGAAAGGAGCAGGGAGGAAGTAAATATGTTCAGATATTTAGGAGTGGACTTCTTGGTGGATGGGTCTATGAAAGATAAGATAAGCCATACACTTGATGAGGCAAAAAAAGGTGGGTGGTGCATTAAGACATTTTTGGAGACAACTGTATATCCATGAAGACACAAAGGGGAATGTACCAGAATATAGTGGTACCAGCACTCTCATATGGGTGTGAAGCATAGATTTATAACATTGCAGCAAGAAGGCTGGAAGCAGTGATACTGTGTCTGTGGGCAATGTGTGATGTCAATATTATGCAGTTTTGAGATTAGGTGGTGTGGGGTTATGAAAAGTATTTTTACTCAGAGAGCTGAGGAGAGGTTGTTGAGGTGGTTTGTACATTTAGAGAGAATGGAAAAAAAATAGGATGACATGGAGGGTGTATAAATCTGTAGTGGATGGAAGGCAGGGTCAGGGTCATCCTAGGAAAGGTTGGAGAGAGGGATATAAAGGTTTTGTATGTGAGGGGCTTGGACATCCAACAGGCATGTGTGAGTAGGTTAGAAGTGAGTGGAGACAAGTGTTTTTATGACTCAACATGCTTTTGGAATAATACACAAATAACCCGCACACAGAAGAGAGGAGCTTACGACGACATTTCGGTCCAACTTGGACCGTTTACAAAGCCACACTAACGAAAAGGAGAGAAGGAGGGAGTATGTATAGGCCAGGAGGTGGTAGTGTTATTTATGCTTTTGGAATGTGAGCAAGGTAACAGGACTCAACTCCAGCTAACCTGTTTCCCTGAATCTCTTCATAAATGTTATCTAGCTCAAGGAAGTTTAAGTCACAGATGAGCTACAGGGATGTTATGAATTATTTCTTCAGTCTCAGGGTGGTCGGAAAGCAAGTTCCGTACATATGTAAGTTCCGCACGTAGTTTTAAGAGTAGATATGACAGGACTCGCGAGGATAAGAAGACATGAATCTGAAGAGTAGCAAGTTAAAAGGCAGGGCCAGGAGTTGAGAATCATTCTCTGCAACCAAAAATAGGTGAATACATACATACATACATATTCACATATACATACATATGAGTGGCCTTCAGGAAACTCTACAAAGTCATTGTGAATGCTTTATATAACATGTCAGGACCATCATGGCACCCACACCTGAGGAAGCATGTTAAGTAACTGGAGAGAGTACAGTAGTATGAAAGAAGACTCATTCCAGAGCTAAGGGGTATGAGCTATGAAGGAACTGAATCTAATGATCCTGTAAGACAGGACTAGGGAATACATGATAAAATACAAAATACTTAGGAATGGATAGGGCAGACAGTGACAGGCTGTTTCAGAGGCTGGAAACAAGTACTCAGGGACACAGCTGAAAGTTAAAGACACAGACGAGTCACAGGGATGTCACAAAGCACATTATTTTTTCAGACTCAGGGCCGCTGGGAAGTGGAATTACCTTAACAAAGAAGTGGTAGAGGCAGAATCCCTACACAGGTTTGAGAGTAGGTATGACAGAGTCTACAAGGCAAGGAGAGTGAATCTGGCAAGCAACAAGCTGAGGCAGGGTCAGGAGCTAAGACTCGACCCCTGCAACCATGTACAGGTAAGTACATACTGTATTTTAAGGTGTCCAAGACGCTATTTTTTCCCCAAAAATGAGTCTAAAATATTTACATAGCGTCCTGGAGGCCAAAGGTTTAGTTGCTCATAGGCTTCAACCTAAGCCTAGAGAAGTGTTTCAATACTAGACAGTAATCTAAGCTCCTGTTTATGACCCAGTAATGAATCATGTTAAGTATTTTGCATAAAATAATGAATAACAAAACATAATCATAGATAATCATAAAGATTCATTGGTGCTAAGTACTGGCAGGCTAAGGTAAACCAGGTGATGGAGTAGGATGGTCTATGGGTAGGATCAGTAGGCTAAGTCACCTGTTTACCATCACACTATCCGGTAAAAATATTTTTACTCTCCTCAAATATTCTGATATTAAGGGAACATTATCAGATATAAAAATCAAAAGTGAAATTGTGGAATGTTACAAGGGGTTCAAATAATGATATATACTGGTATACAGTAGTATATACATAAGCCCCCATTTGCACACCATAGGTTTCTGTTGTGTTGCAAATGCAAAAGTATTCTTATTCAATAGTAAAATCAATAAACTTAAAAATATAAACATGAAGTATTTTTTAAATGCATGACAAACCATCACAAATCAATATGCTGTCCTAGCCACAGACACATCCACTTGCAGGCAGCAAGGCTGTGACTCAGCGAGCAGAAAGAGAACACGGCAAGTCAGGTCCCTGGATACTATCTTTTTTTTACAAAATTTAGCCAGTCAGAATGGGGGCAAAAAATGTCCTTGACACCGGAGCGTCTTGTTCGACATAAAATACAGTATATGCTATCTGTATCCTCCATGTGTCTTGGTAAAAATCTTATAGGATTAAAACATTGTCTCAATAAAATCTGTTTCTGCAAACGTGTTTTTTCTTCACTATTGTCGGCAATGTGCCAGGTGGATATAATGCCATGTGTCATATTAAAGCTTTAGTCCTCTTAAAATATCTCAGCACTCACCATTATAGCAGATAACAGTTACAAATGGAAGATTTTTATTACAGTATTTCATTCACAAAGCACCAAACCCATGTGGAACATTTGGTACTGCAACTGGAAGAACAGCTACACAAAGCAATTCATTAACCCTTTCACTGTCCATCACATAGAACTACATCGTTGAGGCCAGGGTCCCTCACCAGGTTACCTCCCTCAAATAAGCTGAGAGAGGTAAATTTTAGCCTAGATATAAGAGGATGCATGTGGATGATTTAAAACAGCAATTTTGAGCGGTTTTTCTCAGATGGTTTATTGGATTTATTGGCTGTTTCTTGGTATCAATTGGTAGAATGGAAGACACACTACTGTAATAGGAATTTTGATTGGTTCCAGGATTGAAAGTAGCTTGAAATAGGGTTCAAATTAGTGGAAATATTTGAGCACCTCTGCAAGGACAGTGATTATGTGTGAGTGAGGTGAAAGTGTTGAATGATGATGAAATTATTTTCTTTTTGGGGATTTTTTCTTTTTGGGTCACCCTGCCTCAGTGGGAGACGGCCGACTTGTTGGGTAAAAAAAAAAAAAAAAAAAAAAAAAAAAAAATTGTCAATATTCCAGGGGATGGGTAAGGCCCTTTATAACCCCAGTCTGTTTTATGTTTTTTTTATAGGTCTGATTCAATTATTGGGATGCTGTAAACCAAGAACAATCTTTCCTGGTTATACTTTATTATCCGAGAAATAGGAATAAATCTTCTAGTTTTATGTGAATGAGAATTCAAAATGAAGGCCTGGGGATGTGACTAATGAACAGAGGAAATGTTTTAGTGCCAGGAATGTCTACACTGTTTATGCACTATTTTTAAATTGGCATTTTTTTATTGTGTAAAATTAGCCAAATTATCAACTTCTGTGCACTGTGCAGGGTAGTTGAAATAGTTGAATGGGTGATTTCTTGTGCTCAATCAATAGAACAGAAAACATGCTAGTGAATAACTAAGAATCTGGATGAATGGAATAAAGAAACTGGCTTAAAATAGGACTTAAAGTGGGCAAAAATCACGCAGATGCATAAATTGCACAGAGACCTCTAAATTTGCACCTGAATAATTCTGTAAGTTTTCCATCAAATTTCATACTTTCAGTGTCACTACCTTCAGAGAAAAAGATTCTCTACCATTTCAATTAAAAAAAAAAAAAGAGAGAACAGTGAGAGTAACATTAACTGTGGGGGTCTGGACAGTGAAAGTGTTAAGAAACTGAGATCTGGACTGTTATCCTGGGAACTGCATTAGGCATTAAGCCATAAAATTTGTATAAATGCCTTTTTTTTTTTTTTTTTTAGAAAAGTAAAGTATTAAATTTATTTAAATTTCATCAGGAATATTCTGTACTTATTTTTAAAATTTTATACCTCATGCTATATACTATAACTATAAAAGTAATTTGTGACATACTTTTAAAACATAACAATAATGCCAACTGTAATCACAATATTGTAACAATATGAAATTATACACAACTAATACATGAGCATTCATTATATCACCAAGGTAATAGGAAATATTCATTTATATAAAGCATTAATTGAGGAGAAAATAACACGAGGTGCACGGCTACCCTCTCCTGCCTCACTCACTCACTCTAACAACAAATTCAACTTTATAATGCTAAGTCTATGAAAGCACTCTTCAAAATGTAGCTCTCACTTATAACTGTCATGAAAGTTTTACTCTTGAGCGATCATAATTAAGACTTAAAAAGCACCATTCATTCCAAGACCAAGCATACATGTGGTGCACTACCTTCAATAACCAGGGAGTCTCCAGCCACATGTTGACTTGCAAATTCAGCTGTAGTATGTAACAGTACATGACCCACTAACAAATTTATGCTGAAGACTCTGTCTGTGTTGCAGAAGTTTTTACTACAAATTCGTCATCACTTGGTGGAGTCTCTGGAGGCCCTGGTAGAAGCAATCTTGGTGGGACAAGTGCCTTTGGGGGTGACCTACGAGAGCCACTCAAGTTAGCATTCTGACTTTCAGCACGTGGGTTCAAGCTGTGCACATACTTCAATCGTTCACCATTTTCATCCACAAACTCGGGTATTGCTCTGCTCGGAACACAACTCACATTTATATTTTGCCGACTGCCTGATCCACAGGGTGAAGATACATAGATGTTGTGCTGAGTATTAGGTCTTACAGGAGTTGTAACATAAAGACTCTGATGAGTACTGACATATAAATTTTGATGAGATGTAGACACAGGAGAAGTTACATATATGTTCTGTGGAGTGCCAGAACCAAGGCCACTCGCATATAAATTCTGGTAAGTAGTGGATCCAGATGGAGAGGTTACATACAAGTTTTGGTGGGAGGAGGACTGAACTGGCACTATCACATGCACACTGTGGTGAGCAGCAGTACCAATGGAGGTGCCCATGTGAATGTTTCTTTGAGTCTTGCACTCACGGCTGGAAGCACTCTGATTCTGTTGAATTCCACCTTCACTGCTGCTTCCCTGTATTCCCTGCAGTGAGACATCTGGAGAAGCTGTATTATTTGTCTGCGTAACCCCATGTGAGGAACCAGATTGACCCACAGTAAACATGACATGGGTTTCAATACTTGCACAGGAGCTGGTAGTTTCATTCATGATGTGGTGTGGGGTTCCTTGCTGGTCACTTGAATGAGGTGATGGCAGGTTTGGTATCTGATACAATGGCTGGTCTTGAGGACTGCCACAGAGAGAGTACGAGCCAGGTTCAAAAACAGGTGGATACTCCATTCCAGGGTAGTGAGGAAGTATCTGAAAAAAAGACATCTAAAAACCTCTAATAAACATTCAAGTATCTGTCACTTGCAGATATTTTATTTAAAGGCAACCCACACACTAGAAAACAAATCAACATGAAGCCAAAAATCTGGTGAATCCATACACTTTTGAGGGACACTAAAGATAAGTTGTGGAGGGAAGTCTCCCATAAGACAGTGAGATAGACCACCAAACAAGAACGAGTGGTAAATTTTTTTTTACCCTTATATATAGCATCTTCTATTTTATGTAAAGCACTAAACCATGTGGGTCATCAGCACAAAGAGTGGTAGAGGATTGTTCCTACATATGGTACACTAATAGCAGCACAAACTCTACTCCCATAGACAAGTTCTTTCAGTTGAGGAGTCTGGCCAGTACTGAATTTAATCTTGACCAAACTCAGTAAGCTTCATGTATATAAATGGCCTTAAGCAATCTATTTGAAATGTGTAAGGAAAATATTTCAAGGTGTTTGTTCAAATTACTGTACTACAAAGACCCATACAGACATGATTGGTATTATCAGTAATAGGAATTTTTGCCAAATAATAAAACATGAAAATTAAGTAATGATACAAGACATACTTTTTGGTTGCGCATCTTAGCAGGAGTGGAAGTCTTCCCTGCCAAGTTGTGCGGGAATGGTGCTATGGGGTATGTGACTGTAGTCGATATGCTAGACAAGCTGCTGGAGTTTGGAGACAGGACAACTGGTTGGTTTAGGGTTGTAGGTGATGCAGGTGGCGATGAGAAAAATATGTCACGGGGAGACATAACACTTGGAGTTCTTCGCTGTTTTCCTATCATAGAGACGCCCATAGCCGGCTGTAACAAAGCAATGTATGTACAGCTTGTAAAGCATTAACTTTCAGAAAATGTGGATGTTTGGCTACTCAGATCCACTTCGATGCCTACTAAACAAGGATTTTTTTTTTTTTTTCAACAAGTCGGCCGTCTCCCACCGAGGCAGGGTGACCCAAAAAAGAAAGAAAATCCCCAAAAAGAAAATACTTTCATCATCATTCAACACTTTCACCACACTCGCACATTATCACTGTTTTTGCAGAGGTGCTCAGAATACAACAGTCTAGAAGCATACACATATAAAGATACACAACATATCCCTCCAAACTGCCAATATCCCAAACCCCTCCTTTAAAGTGCAGGCATTGTACTTCCCATTTCCAGGACTCAAGTCCGACTATATGAAAATAACCGGTTTCCCTGAATCCCTTCACTAAATATTACCCTGCTCACACTCCAACAATCGTCAGGTCCCAAGTACCATTCGTCTCCATTCACTCCTATCTAACACGCTCATGCACGCTTGCTGGAAGTCCAAGCCCCTTACCCACAAAACCTCCTTTACCCCCTCTCTCCAACCCTTTCGAGGACGACCCCTACCCCGCCTTCCTTCCCCTATAGATTTATATGCTTTCCATGTCATTCTACTTTGATCCATTCTCTCTAAATGACCAAACCACCTCAACAACCCCTCTTCTGCCCTCTGACTAATACTTTTATTAACTCCACACCTTCTCCTAATTTCCACACTCCGAATTTTCTGCATAATATTTACACCACACATTGCCCTTAAACAGGACATCTCCACTGCCTCCAACCGTCTCCTCGCTGCTGCATTTACCACCCAAGCTTCACACCCATATAAGAGTGTTGGTACTACTATACTTTCATACATTCCCTTCTTTGCCTCCATAGATAACGTTTTTTGACTCCACATATACCTCAACGCACCACTCACCTTTTTTCCCTCATCAATTCTATGATTAACCTCATCCTTCATAAATCCATCCGCCGACACGTCAACTCCCAAGTATCTGAAAACATTCACTTCTTCCATACTCCTCCTCCCCAATTTGATATCCAATTTTTCTTTATCTAAATCATTTGACACCCTCATCACCTTACTCTTTTCTATGTTCACTTTCAACTTTCTACCTTTACACACATTCCAAAACTCATCCACTAACCTTTGCAATTTTTCTTTAGAATCTCCCATAAGCACAGTATCATCAGCAAAAAGTAACTGTGTCAATTCCCATTTTGAATTTGATTCCCCATAATTTAATCCCACCCTCTCCCAAACACCCTAGCATTTACTTCCTTAACAACCCCATCTATAAATATATTAAACAACCATGGTGACATTACACATCCCTGTCTAAGACCTACTTTTACCGGGAAATAGTCTCCCTCTCTTCTACACACCCTAACCTGAGCCTCACTATCTTCATAAAAACTCTTTACAGCATTTAATAACTTACCACCTATTCCATATACTTGCAACATCTGCCACATTGCTCCTCTATCCACTCTATCATATGCCTTTTCTAAATCCATAAATGCAATAAAAACTTCCCTACCTTTATCTAAATACTGTTCACATATATGCTTCAATGTAAACACTTGATCTACACATCCCCTACCCACTCTGAAACCTCCTTGCTCATCCGCAATCCTACATTCTGTCTTACCTCTAATTCTTTTCAATTATAACCCTACCGTACACTTTTCCTGGTATACTCAGTAAGCTTATTCTCTATAATTTTTACAGTCTCTTTTGTCCCCTTTCCCTTTATATAAGGGACTATACATGCTCTCCGCCAATCCCTAGGTACCTTCCCTCTTTCATACATTTATTGAACAAAAGTACCAACCACTCCAACACTATATCCCCCCCTGCTTTTAACATTTCTGTCATGATCCCATCAGTACCAGCTGCTTTACCCCCTTTCATTTTACGTAATGCCTCACGTACCTCCCCCACACTTACATTCTGCTCTTCTTCACTCCTAAAAGATGGTATACCTCCCTGACCAGTGCATGAAATTACTGCCTCTGTTTCTTCCTTAACATTTAAAAGTTCCTCAAAATATTCTCGCCATCTACCTATACCTCCATCTCCACCATCTACTAACTCCCCTACTCTGTTTTTAACTGACAAATCCATATTTTCCCTTGGCTTTCTTAACTTGTTTAACTCACTCCAAAATTTTTTCTTATTTTCATTAAATTTCTTGACAGTGCCTCTCCCACTCTATCATCTGCTCTCCTTTTGCACTCTCTCACCACTCTCTTTACCTTTCTTTTACTCTCCATATATTCTGCTCTTCTTATACACTTCTGCTTTGTAAAAACCTCTCATAAGCTACCTTTTTCTCTTTTATCACACCCTTTACTTCATCATTCCACCAATCACTCCCCTTTCCTCCTGCACCCACCCTCCTATAACCACAAACTTCTGCCCCACTATCTAATACTGCATTTTTAAAACTATTCCAACCCTCTTCAACCCCCCATTACTCATCTTTGCACTATCCCACCTTTCTGCCAATAGTCGCTTATATCTCGCCCGAACTTCCTCCTCCCTTAGTTTTATACACTTTCACCTCCCTCTTACTTGTTGTTGCCACCTTCCTCTTTTCCCATCTACCTCTTACTCTAACTGTAGCTACAACTAAATAATGATCCGATATATCAGTTGCCCCTCTATAAACATGTACATCCTGGAGCCTACCCATCAACCTTTTATCCACCAATACATAATCTAATAAACTACTTTCATTACGTGCTACATCATACCTTGTATATTTATTTATCCTCTTTTTCATAAAATATGTATTACTTATTACCAAATTTCTTTCTACACATAGCTCAATTAAAGGCTCCCCATTTACATTTAACCCCTGGCACCCCAAATTTACCTACTACTCCCCATAACATTTTTACCCACTTTAGCATTGAAATCCCCAACCACCATTACTCTCACACTTGATTCAAAACCCCCACGCATTCACTCAACATTTCCCAAAATCTCTCTCTCTCCTCTACACTTCTCTCTTCTCCAGGTGCATACACGCTTATTATAACCCACTTTTCACATCCAATCTTTATTTTACTCCACATAATCCTTGAATTAATACATTTATAGTCCCTCTTTTCCTGCCATAGCTTATCCTTCAACATTATTGCTACTCCTTCTTTAGCTCTAACTCTATTTGAAACCCCTGACCTAATCCCATTTATTCCTCTCCATTGAAACTCTCCCACCCCCTTCAGCTTTGTTTCACTTAAAGCCAGGACATCCAGCTTCTTCTCATTCATAACATCCACAATCATCTCTTTCTTATCATCTGCACAACATCCACGCACATTCAGACTTCCCACTTTGACAATTTTCTTCTTCTTATTCTTTTTAGTAATCTTTACAGGAAAAAGGGGTTACTAGCCCATTGTTCCCGGCATTTTAGTTGACTTTTACAACACGCATGGCTTACGGAGGAAAGATTCTTATTCCACTTCCCCATGGATATAAAAGGAAAATTAATAAGACCAAGAACTATTAAGATAAAATCAAAGAAAACTCAGATGAGTGTGTATGAATAAATGTGTATATGTATGTGTAGTGTGACCTAAGTGTAAGTAGAAGTAGCAAGACATGCCTGTAATCTTGCATATTTATGAGACAGACAAAAGACATCAGCAATCCTACCATCATGTAAAACAATTACAGGCTTTCGTTTTACACTCACTTGGCAGGACGGTAGTACCTCCCTGGGTGGTTGCTGTCTGGAAATCAGATTGGAGGGAGGGAGGTGAACCATAGAACAGATGAGGGGAAAAAGTGGATGGTGTGTTGAGGCATCTGTCAAGACGAACTTTATCCACAGAGGCAAAATTGGAAATGTACCAAAGTATAGTGGTACCAACACTGTTTTATGGGTATAAAACATGAGTTTTAAACATTGTAGAAAGAAGGCTGAAGGCAGTGGAGATGTCATGACTGAAGTTGATGTGTGGTGTCAATATTATACAGAGAATTCAGAGTGTGGATAATACCAGTGGTATAATTTATAGGGCTAAGAAGTTGTTGAAGTTGCATGGGTATTTAACCCTTTGAGGGTCGACAGGCCCTCTCCGAAACTCGTTCTCAGGGTCGGCCAAATTTAAAAAAAAAAAAATTATTTTCTCTTATGAAAAGATAAGAGAATCTTTTCCCGATCATAAAGACACCAAAAGTTTGAAATTTGATAGAAAACTTACGGAATTATGCTCTCGCAAAGTTAGCGGTCTCGGCGATGTTTACGCATCGGCAATTTTGCCCACTTTGAGCCCCATTTTCGGCCAATTTCACTGTACTAGTCGACAAAAAACATGAATATTTCGCTAGAACTCCATTTTTTCTATCGAGTGGGTGCAAGAAACCACCCATTTATGAAATTCAACTATCCAGTACAGTGGTAAGAATTTAGCAATTTTGCCAATTTCACACAAATTTCAAAAAATGCCAATTTCCGAATAGGGTCCAGAATAAACAAGAAAGACATTCCTGGCACTAAAATGACATTTCCTCTAGTCATTAGTCACGTCTCAAGGCCCCTCTTATATTCTTTTGCTTTCCACTTTGAATTTTTATTTTCACAAAAAATATAAGATTTACTGTTATGTAGACTACTGCATTAGTGTAAAAAATGGTATAAATATTATTGGTGCACTTGTGAAAGAATATTAGACTCACCAGTTGATGTGTATTGCATGCTTGGCACGATTTGTTTACTTTTGAAGTTTGGTAAAAATCGAACATTTCTGCTACTTTGAGCTCAATTTCAAGGCACCTTTCATTGTAAAACCAGTCAAAATCATCTCAATTTCTGTAATATGTCTTCCATTCTATAAAATGAGACCAAGAAAACTAGAATACAACAATAAATACCATACGAAAATACACTGCAAAGTCGCTGATTTATTAAAAAAAAATGGTCAAAGTTTTTTTTTTCTCATTATGCACTGTGTGCTGCAGGATTTTTTTTAGACTGTGCACACTGACCACATAGACCCATTCTTTCATATGAAGGCCTACCAGCTTTCTCCCACTAGATTTGAGGCCGCTAGAATTTATGAGTACTAGTACGTCAAAAACCCCTACGCGTAAGACGTACTAGTACGACCAAAACCCTCAAAGGGTTAAAGAGGGTGGAACAAGACAGGATTGTCAGAAGGGTATATAAATCTTGCAGAGGGGGAAAAGGGGTATAGAGGCTCATCCCAGGAAGAGCTGGAGGAAGGGGTAGAGGAGGTTTTGCGTGTTAAGGGCTTGAACATCCAACAGGGTTGTATGAGCATGTTTGAATGGAGTGGAGGCAAATGGTTTTAATAGCAAAATACTGTTGGGGCATGAGTAAGGTGACATTTATGAAGAGATTCAAGGAAACTGACTAGACAGACTCGAGTCATGGAGGTGATAAGTACAGTGCCTGAACTGTAAAGGATGGGTGGGGATGCTACAGTTCAGAGGGTCATCCGAACTGTGATGTTAGTATGTTTCTGGTAAGGCAGACATTGAATCAATGATGGCAAATACATTTCTTCCTTTTTTAGGGATGAGGGATGTCTCCCTACCTCAGTGGAAGATGACTGGCATGTTAAAAATTTTTTACTAAAACAAACATTGTAGACCGGGTAAGGGTTCCGTGAAGTTTCATTTTCAAACATAGGGAAGTCATAATGAATAGCAAATAGATTGATAAATTGATTAATATACTGTAATTGTTCTGATACTGTACAATAGCAACAATGTGCATAGACACTTAGTTTATAATGATCAATGTGGAAGGTGGCTTTGTTACAATCACGATATGGACTATCTTAACATTACCTTTAAAGGTGTCCGTACAGCTTCTGACTCTTCAGCATGCGTCCTGATGGTTAGATTAGATACATTTTTTGAACTCCTGTTATGTGCTGGAGAGTCAGGCGACATATAAGGCACAGAGGAGATGGGTACATGAGAATGATGAGAGGACGAGTAAGATGAAAGAGAGGAGATAGATCTGGCAGATGCACCAAGACTGAGGGCTGAACAGGAAGTAGAGGAAGATGTGGAGCTAGTCATAAGTGTGGAAATGCTAGTAGAGAGGGAAGAAGTAGGAAGAGTACGTTCACTTGGAGAGAGGAATTTTGTTCTTGGAGGCACTTCTGGTCGAGACATGGCGAGTGTCCCACTACTAGCTACTTGTTGTGACTTCCTGGGATGTATTGTGGATCCCTGATCCCACTGATCTATAAAACAGTGGGGAGAAGCCAATGATTCATCTGGCACAGCTGCTGGTGGCCTAGGGTCTTCTCTGCTTTTGTCTATAATTAACTTCCCATTGCTGGGGTCTAGAGCTAATTCAAATGCAGCTCTCATGGGATCATTTCGACTTCGAAGCTGAGGAGGATGATAAAGTGCAGTGCGTTTTAAACGTTCTGGTATAAAAGCCTCTCCAGAACCTGAGCAAGATCTTCCATCCCTTTTCTCTGGTGATGAACGCAAGTTTGGACGTGGCCTGGAAGTGTCATTCCGGAGAGAGTTGATCCACAGCTTCTCTGGAGAACCCTCACGATACTCTTCTGAAGCAAGTAAACTGCTTGTTGAACCATGAGAGCTACGAGTTGGTGTATGAAGAGGAGATATTGGGGGAGAGAGTGCCCTTGGATGAGACCAAGCCAAACAGTCAAGGGAACCTCTTCTTGGAGACCTTGACCTCACTGGCGATTCTCCTCCAGTACTTCCCCGCCTCCCACTCACTTGAAATTTTGAAGGACTACAACGGCCGCTGGGTGGGGAAGTGCCACCCCACCTTCCATTGCTTACTCTACTGGGGCTACCTCGGGTGTCTAAGTCAACAGAGGAAGGTCTTGCAGGAGAGTGTTGACTACTAGCATGGGTTGGAAGCATGTAATGAGGACGCTGGCGCTGGCTACTGGTAGAAGAATCCTGGGAACTACTTTGTCCATCAACAACATGTTCTAAACTGGCAGAGCTGTGGTTAGTGCTATTTGAAACAGTTCCCATGCTGACTGAGAGTGGGACTTTTCCCACTACCTCTGGCAGTTCAACATCTGGGTGTAATTCACTTTGCTCTTCTTGATGTTGCTGCTGTTTCTTATTGTGTTTCTGCTGATCTTGACTATTTGGTGTACCTCTGCTTACTGCTTGCCGTCGTCGTTCCAGAGTAAAGGGTGCTGGCAGTTGCCGCAAGCGATCACGAAGACTGTTCTTCCTAGTAACTCTTCGGCTAGAACCTCCTTCAGTGCAACTCGTCTCTGTCTGACTTGCAGTGTCTTCAGGCTTATTGACCCCTCGCAGATCACCTGTGGAAGTGCTACGACTGCTAGTTTCACTCACACGCCTGAAAAAATTAGACTGTACATAGTTCAAAGACAGATTAATCTGTAGCAGAAAATATAGAACATAGTAAGTGTCACTAAGAACAATGACTGTGATTATGTATTAAAATTTCAAGATCAACTTCTGTGGCAATATTTAAAACAATAATGAGCCATATTGCACATGAGGGATACATAAATCAACATACAAAAACAGACACATTTAAAACATCCAATATCACACATGAAAGTCCTAGATGCCTTGACAGATCCCATTATTTATTTATTATTGGTAGAGTACTTGATTGTGTAATTTACAATTGTATACATGTTGGTATCGATCACCAAGGTAAGATGGGAGGAAAAAAAATGTGATCTCTGTGTCTGTAGTAGTGCTTTTTGTTTGAAAAGAGAATGCTGTGCTCTACAGAGTTAAAAGGCCTTCTTCAGATGAATAACTAGTTCAAGGGAATATTCATTCTTAAAAGTGCTGTGTACATTATGTTTAGCATTTCTGATTGAAATCCTTACTTGCAATGATTACTTATGTAGCACTGTTTGTGCATTACTAGCAAATATTGGCTCTGTTGTACAGTATTGTAGTTAATAATGTAGCCTTGCTTGTGGATTATTTTTCCAAATATTTTTGCAAGTACTATTTGATATGATACTGGTTTGTAATTGGTTATGTGGACTGGAGTGATCCAGGCAACATCTTAAATTAAGGTGATTTGCATTGTAATTGCAAATGATGATAATATATTTGCTACTTTCTTTTGTACAATGGACAATTGTATTTCAGCTAGATTATTTACTTATCACATGTGAATGATGTTAAATATAAGGGGTGAGAATAGTTGCTGGTAATGTTGCTAGCTAGAAGAGTCCCAATGGCAGAGAAGCAACTACACCCAGAGGAGAGGGAATGCTGACACAATGGCGAGCAGATTAAGTGATTTAAGAGTGTTACCTGTAACTGCGGAAAGATGCAGTGGGGACAGGCTGATTCAGTGTGTCCCTTGATGGTTGCAGGAACCTTAGCCCCTGACTCTTGCTTGCTGAGCCAAGAGCAGCCAAGGAGCTAAGTGAAGTTCCGCGACCTTGGCTGCCTCGAGAGGGACTAGCTGACCCTCCTCTCCAAAGGCCCCCAACAACCTCCTTGCTTGGTGACATTCTGCAAAAATACACAATTCCAGCCATGAAAACAATTACAATGTTGAGCATACTTTTTTTTTTTAATACGTCAGCCATCTCCCACCAAGGTAGGGTGACAAAAAACTTTCACCATCATTCACACATAAACACTGTCTTTGCAGAGGTGCTCAGATACAGCAGTTAAGATGTCACTCCAAACAGTCAATATTCCAAACCCCTCCTTTAAAGTGCAGGCATTGTACTTCCCACCTCCAGGACTCAAGTCCAGCTAACAGGTTTCCCTCAATCCCTTCACAAATTACATTCATAAATCACAAGGTGCACTGCAAAACATTACTTCAGATATTACAAATCTGGCAAATAGTAAGTCAAGATTTCATCCAAGGTAGGGAATAGCAGGTCCAATTCCTTAGGGGTTGCATCAGCAACTATACAACACTGTAATGTAGACCTCAGCAGGTAGACCCAGCCATCCACACAACACTTACTGAGATAAAACACTTTTTGCCCCCAGTTAAGTCTTAGTCTAGATATAAATTAATATATTAGACACATGAGCAGAGCCTGGGTATCTTTACTGAGAAAATGTTTTGCCACACAGTGGCATGACTCAAGAAATCGTAATGACACGATTGCAAATAAACCATACCCCCGTCATATCAGTCCTATACAAAAAATAAGGGTAAAAAAAGGAGTTTGAGGTAATTATTTCTACAGGCTGGAGTTAATGTAACTAGTCCATCAATCTTAAAAAGAATACAGCATGCCCAGCCGGCCAGCCAGCCAGCAAGCATGCCAGTCAGCATGCCACTCTCTCCCATTTTAAGCAACCACAATGTTTTGGTCACAGAATTTTAGGTTCAAGCAAAGAGGTGTTCATTATTTTAACAGTGGTGAATTGTTAACACCTTGAGTTGTAATAACGGCCACCAACTGAAACACTGCAAAATTCCTGAGTACATCACCCTCCTCTCCAAACACAGCTCTGCTATATGCCCAAAGAAAAGGCCATCATGAAAGAAATATTATAATCATGATAAAGCACTGTAGGCATTGTATAGTGTCTGGAGAATATGAGGTTTGAGCCAATGAGGGGAAGGTAGCTTCAGTTCCTCTGATCACTGTGTATAGCCAGAATGAATTTTTTATTATCAAAACTTGTGGCAAATGCAGTCTCCTACCTGGACTGAGATGACTGCGGAGACCGTCTTGAAGGTGATGATCGCTCTTCAAGTTCATCATCAGTTTCACTATAGTAGACTTCTTCTCCTGTAAGTTAAGTGCTGATTAGCGTGCTCCTTAGTGTTAGTTATAACATTAGAGTTATCAAAACCCAATTAAAATACGTAAAAAACAGTTACTTTTTGCTGATGATACGGTGCTTATGGGAGATTCTAAAGAAAAATTGCAAAGGTTTGTGGATGAGTTTGGGAATGTGTGTAAAGGTAGAAAGTTGAAAGTGAACATAGAAAAGAGTAAGGTGATGAGGGTATCAAATGATTTAGATAAAGAAAAATTGGATATCAAATTGGGGAGGAGGAGTATGGAAGAAGTGAATGTTTTCAGATACTTGGGAGTTGACGTGTCGGCGGATGGATTTATGAAGGATGAGGTTAATCATAGAATTGATGAGGGAAAAAAGGTGAGTGGTGCATTGAGGTATATGTGGAGTCAAAAAACGTTATCTATGGAGGCAAAGAAGGGAATGTATGAAAGTAAAGTAGTACCAACACTCTTATATGGGTGTGAAGCTTGGGTGGTAAATGCAGCAGCGAGGAGACGGTTGGAGGCAGTAGAGATGTTCTGTCTAAGGGCAATGTGTGGTGTAAATATTATGCAGAAAATTTGGAGTGCGGAAATTAGGAAAAGGTGTGGAGTTAATAAAAGTATTAGTCAGAGGGCAGAAGAGGGGTTGTTGAGGTGGTTTGGTCATTTAGAGAGAATGGATCAAAGTAGAATGACATGGAAAGCATATAAATCTATAGGGGAAGGAAGGCGGGGTAAGGGTCGTCCTCGAAAGGGTTGGAGAGAGGGGGTAAAGGAGGTTTTGTGGGCGAGGGGCTTGGACTTCCAGCAAGCGTGCGTGAGCGTGTTAGATAGGAGTGAATGGAGACAAATGGTGCTTGGGACCTGACGATCTGTTGGAGTGTGAGCAGGGTAATATTTAGTGAGGGATTCAGGGAAACCGGTTATTTTCATATTAGTCGGACTCAAGTCCTGGAATATGGGAAGTACAATGCCTGCCACTTTAAAGGAGGGGTTTGGGATTTGGCAGTTTGGAGGGATTTGTTGTGCTTCTTGTATATGTGTATGCTTCTGACTGTGGTTTCGAGCACCTCTGCAAATACTGTGATTATGGGTGAGTGAGGGGTGTTGGTGGTGTTGGTGAGGTTGTTGTTGTTGTGGGGGAGTGGCTTCGTGGGGTGGGGTCATGGCCGCGGGGTGGGGGTAGGACAGTCGGGGGGTTTTTTTTTTTTTTATGGTGGAGTTTGTTGTGGGTTGTTGTAGGTGTGTTGTGGGGTGGGGTGTACTAGTATAGTTTATTATAGTATAGTTTATTATAGTATAGTTTATTATAGTTTATTATAGTATAGTTTATTATAGTATAGTTTATTATAGTATAGTTTATTTATAGTATAGTTTATAGTATAGTATAGTTTATTATAGTATAGTTTATTATAGTATAGTTTATTATAGTATAGTTTATTATAGTATAGTTTATTATGTATAGTATAGTTTATTATAGTATAGTTTATTCATAGTATAGTCTTTATATAGTATAGTTTTATTATGTATAGTTTATCTATAGTATAGTATAGATTTATGTTTATATAGTATAGTTTATTATAGTATAGGGTTTATTTAGCATAGTTTTAGATTATGGTTTATTAGTATAGTTTTATGATAGTATAGTTTATTATGTATAGTTTATTATAGTATAGTTAGTTTATTATTATAGTTTATGTATAGTTTATTATAGTATAGTTTATTTTTAGTATAGTTTTATGTATGGATTTAGTTTATTATGTATGTTTATTATAGTATGCAGTATAGTTTATTATAGTATAGTTTATTATATGTAGTTTATATAGTTAGTTTAATAGATAGTATAGTTTTATAAGTATAGTATAGTTTATTATAGTATGGTTTATATTATAGTTTATTATAGTATAGGTATAGTTTATTATAAGTATAGTTTTATGTCTATAGTTAAGTATATAGTATAGTTTTATTATAGTATAGTATAGTTATTATATAGTATAGTATAGTTTATTATAGTATGTTTATAGTTTATAGTAATGGTATAGTTTATTATGTATAGGTATAGTTTTTTTATATATAGTATAGTTTATTTATAGTATAGTTTATCATTATAGTTTATTATAGTATAGTTTATTATAGTATAGTTTATTTATAGTATGGGTATAGTTTATTATGTATAGTTTATTATAGTATAGTTTATTATGTATATTTTATTATAGTATAGTTTTATTATAGTATCGTATAGTTTATTATAGTATAGTTTTTTGATAGTATAGTATAGTTTTATTATAGTATAGTTTATAGTATAGTATAGTTTATATAGTATGGTTTAAATTATAGTTTATTATAGTATAGAATAGTTTTATTACTAGTATAGTTTATGTATAGATACGTATAGTTTATTATAGTATAGTTTATTTATTAGTATCAGTCTAGTTTTTAGTATGAAGTTTATGTATATATAGTTTATTATAGTATGTATAGTTTTTTATAGTATAGTATGTATAGTTATAGTATAGTTTATTAATAGTATAGTTTATTAGATGTGTTCATAGAATAGTATTAGTAGTATCTATAGTTTTATTATAGTATAGTTTATTTTATAGTATAGTTTATTTATAGTATAGTTTATAGGTTATGTATAGTTTATTATAGTATAGTTAATTATAGTATAAGTTTATTAATGTATAAGTAATATATTTATAGTTTTATAAAAGTATAGTTTATTATAGTTAGTTTATTATAGTATAGTTTTATTAATAGTAAGATAGTTTATTATAGTATAGTTTATAAAAGTATAGTAAGTAGTGTTATATAGAAGTATATTTTATGTATAGTTTATAGTATAGTTTATGTATCAGTAGACGTCTTTAGATAGTTATAAAAACAGTATAAGTAAGATGTAATAGCTGTATAGATTGATGTTATTACCTACACTAAACAACACTACACTAAACAACAAAAACACCTAACACTAAACAACACTACACTAAACACAACACTAAACACACTACACTAAACATACTCTAAACAACACACACTAAACACACTACACTAAACAACACTACACTAAACACACACTAAACACTACACTACACTAAACAACCAACAAACAAAAACACTACACATACACAAACAACACTCCTAACAACCACTACACTAACACACTACACTAAACAACACTAACTAAAACATACACTACACATACATAACTCAAACAACACTACATAAACACACTACACACACAAACACACCACACCTAAACAACACTACTAAACAACACTACACAACACACACACACAACAACACTACACTAACAACACTACCTACACAAACACACTACACTAAACAAATACACTAACAAACACACACACTAAACACTACACTACACTAAACAACACTACAGTAAACAACACTAAACAACACACACACACTAACACACTACACTAAACATAACACACACTAACACTACACTAAACAACACTACCACCAAACAACACAACTACACTAAACAACACTACACTACACTAAACACTACACACACTAAAACACTACACACACTAAACAACATACACTACACAAACATAACACTACACTAACATACACTAAACAACACTACACTAAAAACACACACTAAACAACACTACCACACTAAACACACACACTAAACACACTACACAACAACACTACACTAAACAACACTACACTAAACACTACACTACACTAAACAACACTACACTAAAACACTACACTACACTAAACAACAACTACACTAAACACACACACTACACTAAACAAACAACACTACACTAAACACTACACTACACAAAAAACACTACACTAAACCTACACTCACTAAAAAAAACTCACTAAACAACATACACTAAACATAACTACACTAAACAACATACTACATTAAACAACACTAAACAACATAACTAAAAAACACTCCCTAAACACTAACTACACTAAACACTACACTCACAAAAAACATACACACATAAACAACACTACACTACATAAACAACACTACACAAAAAACACTACATCAAAAACAACACTCACTAAACAACACTACACTAAACAACCTAAACACTAACTACACAAAACAACATACACTAAACCTACATACACTAAACAACATACACAAAAACAAATACATAAACACTACACACACTAAACAACACTACATAAACAACACTACACAAAACAACATACACTAAACAACACTATGCTAAACCTACACTACACAAAACCCTTACACTCACTAAAAAACATACACTAAACAAAAACCCCCTAAACACACCTACATAAACAACATCATAAACAACACTACAAAAAACCCAACACTAACTAAAAACACTACACAAACACTACCTACACTAAACAACATACCAACCATACACTACACTAAACAACACTACACTAAACAACATACACTACACAACACTAAACACTACACAACACTAAACACTACACTACATATAAAACAAAACCTAAACAAGACTACACCATACATACAAATCCAACATTAATAATATACCCACGTACTACAATTTTAGACATTTTTTTACACTATCGTACATGCTGTCAATAACAAAAATAATACCTAAGAAGACTACTCGTTATTAATTCAGTAATTTACAATATTCTCCCACAAAAAATATGTTTCTAAGGACTTATTACTTCAGTAATTTATGGACTCTATGGTAACTATTTTTAAGGAACAGTCCTGGGGAGAACCTCAATCTCTCTCTTGGATATACAAAGGTTGAACTTCCAGCGATAATATTAAGTATTTGTCGGATCTAGGGTAATATTTTAAGAAGCGTCTTGGGGAGGACCTCACATCTTCATTTGGGTGTGCAAAGGTTGTACTTCCCGTGATAATACTTAAGTTTCATCGAATTTCGAAGAATCCACCAAAATTGTGGATCATAAAGTTGGTTCCCGGGGAAATTATGTTGGCTTTTACTTTCAAGGAGTGGTACCAAGAGTTTAAATTT